TAAGTTTCCGGATAGCCGAGATACAGGAGGTGTCTGAAAATCGTAAATTTCAAACACTCCCTGTATATCAAAAACGAAGAGGGCTATGAAAATTTGGTTTGCGCCATTGTAAGTTTCACAAAAAAGTAGCTCAGGTTCGCGAAAGCCGCAACTTTCTATCTTTCATAATAACTGAGATACCCTGCAAACCCATCGAAATTTTTTACACCTGTACAGTATGTCCAGAAAAAAACTAAAATTTGCTGCCTTTAAACTTTTACATTGTTAAGACACTTTTTTAAGACTAGCCTTTTGGTCTGAACAGAAACTATCGATATTCATTTGTTTCTAAGTTATTAGCGCTGCCTTCTGTTTTTTCTTATGGTGGCTATATTAGATTTTTGATTAGTTAAATAGTCCATAAAAAGAGCTTTTCAATCATGTATAACATGCCTAATAAATCGTTATTTATACCAGAGATATAAACATTAACACATTAACTTATGTATTAAAACATTAACTTTATGCTGGTGCTATACCAGACATTTGTGGCACCTCGTTCTAACAGATTTACAAACCCTACGCAATGTGTTTGATGAGTCTCTCGTGGTTCAAAATTAAATATTTCGTTCTTAGTGGCACCCCACAGATAAAAAAGTCAAGAGGGGTAAGATCGGGTGATCTCGCAAGCCACTGTTCCATGATTTGTAATCACTTTTTCGTTAAAGTTTTCTCCTAAAAAAAAATTGTGCATCACTAGTATTATGGGCTGCCTTCTTGCTGAAACTAAATATTTTGGATGCTTTCGGGGTTAACAACTTGTGTGATAGCAGGCATAATTTTGTTTGTTAGTAGCCTTAAGTATCTGTCACCAGTTAAATTATTATCAAAGATAAATGGACTTTAAATGATTATCGAAAATGAAAAAGACAAACACTCAAAAACACAACAAAGATGTAAATAAAGGTAAGTACCAAGCAAACCACACCAAACGTTAAACTTTAATGTATATTAATAATTAATATATATGTAATTAATAATATATTAATAGACTTTGAAATCTCCTTTGATTTACCAAATGTGGATTTTAATAGACCAATAATGATAATTGTGCCTATTGAACACTCCACAATTGATAAACCGTGTTTCATCTGTCCAAAGTACTTTCCTAGCAAAATCAGCATCGTTTTCAGATTTTTGTAGATACCCTCTGCTAAATTCTAATCTTCGAGTATGATCATTATCGCTTAAACCTTGCACTATTATTGGTTTAGACGAGTTGTATTTTTTTTTCTTCAACGTACTATGAACAATTCAAGAAAGAGTTCCAGTTCTAAAAGAGGAGTGAGTTCGATCATGAGTTGGAGTTCAGTGAAGAACCAGAAAAGGAAAGAAGTACCGAGTTGAGGAGTATCATCGTTGGTCGATATCATGGTTGCAACGATGACTTGTAACCCTTTGTGGGTGATATTATTTAACGATTGTACAAATTACTTACGTTCTATTTGTTTTATATGCCTTATTTTATATTTTATTTTGTAGTCTCTTTTTCATAGTATTGATAATTAAAGTAAAGATTAATAATTAAATTTTCTTTTATTTTCTATGTTTTAGACAAAATCAAAAAATTGCGTGTCAAATCTCAATTTGCTGAATACGCATTGCACACCCACTGGTCAACGTAAGAGATATTGAGAGTAGATATTGTGCATAGTCTTCTAGAAAGAAATACGTTTTACCGAAATTTTTAGTCCAGTGTCATACTAAAAAACCTGGTACCATTAGGACGACTACAACAAAGTTTGTTACATGCAGATGAAATGTAGATTTTTTTGATTTAAAAAAATTTGCATAAAAATTTACCTGCAATAAAGTTCCTTATTCAAAAGTTAAATTTATTGAAATAATTTCATCATTGTACTATATTAGATATTAAATTTCCATCAATGGTATTTTACAACGTTGGCATTTCAAAAAGCCAATTTTGTCAAAAGCCTTGAAAACAATTTGACCATTAGTTATTATTGTAAAATGAAAAGCTCATCATTGTAGCATTCTACTGCTTAAGTCTCAGTATATTTCTTTCAACAACAAGACTTCTGATATAATACAAATTTTTGGTATTTATTAATGACATGTGTAGCTGCCTGCCGCAAAGCTCGAAAGTTATACTTTATGCGAATTATACAGCAATTATAAATACCCGCCCTAATTACAATACATACTCTTATCTTGGTTTGAAACTAATACTCTTGCGATGAACGCGTCCAAGATTGAGTCATTCTACCAAATCTCACTCAGCCTGTTAAATATCTTGAAGTGATGCTTGATTTCAGACTAACGTGGGAGGCTCATGTGCTGAGCTTGGCCAAGAAGTTAAATAAGTGTATTTCTGCAATTAGAAATCTGATAAATTCTAAAATTTTCTAAAATTCGGCCGGATATTAAAAACCTATTACTTAGTACTCCACCATTCACAGGAATTAGTATCTCTTAGGAGTTGGACACTGGAGATAATAATCAAGTTCAACACCAATAAGACTTTTTTCGTTTAATACAACTTTATTTATTATTAGCAACGTCATTGTAACAATCCCAATACGATATATAAAATCTTTTGTTGCAGTTTCGTCTAGTTACCTTCTCTTCGCTTGTAATTCATCATCACATTCATTACTAGCAGAACTGTCGCCGTTATCACTTTCCATTATTAATTAAAGTATCCTCTTTTTAATGTAACAAGTCGTTTTGATAAATCACTTTTAGTCCTGGAGAAATAAATTTTTAAAATAATCGACAATTTTTTCGAATTTTGCAATTTTCGTCGATTAAGTTTTAGAAATATGTATAAAATCCAGTTCTTGGAATATGAGTATGAAAATTTCAGAAAATGTTAATAAAAGTGTCCTCTTTCCAATGAACCAACACGTTTTGAAAAATAACTTTTTGTTTTTGAGAAAACAATATTTGAAGTTTTGATAAAATTTTCGATGTTGCAATTTTCATCGATAATTTTCAAAATTTGCTATAAAATTAATTTCTTGAAGGATCCTTGTGGGAATATCACCAATTATTAATTAAAGTATCCTCTTTTTAATGCAACAACCCGTTTTGAATAATCATTTTTAGTTTTTGAAAAATAAATTTTTGAAATGATCGATAATTTTTTCGAATTTTGCAATTTTCGCAGATTAAGTTTTAAAATTTTATACGAATTTTATGCACTTCTTAGAATAGGAGTATGAAAATTTCGAAAGAAATTTTCCGAAGGGGATGCCCAATATCCGGCTTTTCGCAAAATTACTATCCATTCCATGTCTAGTACCTACATATTTGACACTTTGATTGTCATTTCAAAGTTAAAAAATTTTTAAACATTTTCTTAAATATTTTCAGTATGGTTTGTCTTAGAAAGATAAAATTTGGCAAACAGTGCAATGTTATCATAAGAAATCATTTAACATCACTTTTAAAAATATGCAAACACGGGATCAATACTATACAGATGTTCACAAAGGTTATTTCCTCAAAACTTTTTTATTATCTATTTCATTTTGAAATTATTTGACTCTTAAACATTTTTCAAAAAAAAACCTAGTCAGCTCCCATTAATTGTATTGTACTTTTATGTTGTCCTTTTTTCAGTTTAATTTCTGTATGAATTTTGTATACTTTTTTGCTGTGCTATATATACCATGTGACAAGTGTAAGAGAAGTCTTTCTTAATAATATTTTTACCTGTAATAATATCTTAACATGAATAGGCATAGCCCCTAGTCACAACCATGAAAGAAAAACAATCTGTAAACTTTTAAATCCAAATTATTGCATAGTAGATGTAAGGAACTTGGTTCAAAATAATTCTTAGGTGACAATATATAGAAAGTTACTGCAGGAACTAAAAATTTGTTATATTTATGTGCTTTACCCCATATCAATTACATATTTCATTTAATAAACTGTTCTAAAACAATTTATTCATGCATATTTGACTCTAATTGTCTATATATGTCAAAATAATAAAAAATATCCCTACACCTTCTTAAATAATAATAACTTAACTAAATTAATAACGTTCAGACAATAAAAACCAAAATTTTTTTAAGAATTTTATTTTTTTAAAGTTATTTTATAAAACTTAAGCAATGAACTCATATTGTATAGGAGCCAACCAGACAGGATCCTCTTTACCACTAACAATATGAGCAGGTCTTGGTTGAGCCGGTTGTCTCTTCAAGCAAATCCTCTCACCCTTTTCTTTAGCTTCTTTACGCAACTTCTCGTTTTGTTTGACACGTTGCAAGAAGTCTTGACGACACTGCGAGTGCCTAACATGCTCAATACGGATGTTAATCCTCTTTGGGATGATTTTTCCTCGAACGCGCTTATTTACAATGACCCCTAAGGCGTGAGCCGTGACGTTGAATACTCTTCCGGTTTTTCCATGGTACACCTTATGTGGCATACCTTTTTGGATGGCCCCATTACCTTTTATATCAACAATGTCGCCCACTTTGTACGTTCTCATATACGTGGAAAGTGGGATTACTCCATGTTTACGGAAACGACGTGAGAATAAATCTCTCGTTCCACGTCTATAACCTTTTGAATTCGTCATGTTGAATTAAAACCTGAAAAATAATTAAAAATTAATATTCGTGAGGTTAGATTTTTTTTGATTGAGGTTATGTTTACCGCGTGTTGGAAAAATGTAATTAGACAAGTTAAAAATTATTAATAAGTATCGATTTAAATTGGGAATAAGTTTTTAAGTTAATTTAGTATTAAATTTGTTTATTTGTTATTGATTAAACAATCATTTATTGAGAAAAACTTACCGTTGAATTGACAACGTGAAATCGTTGACGGAAAAGAAATGGCCGACTTTTGTTTAGGTTGTGGCGCCCTCTTTAGTAAATTGTATCTTAATATTTTATTTAAATTAAATTATTAATTTTAAAAGGGATTACTCGTTAATAAATTAAATTTTAAATCTAATCATTAACGCATATTTATTAATATACTAATATATTAAAAAATAAATATTTATATTTTAGGGATTTATTTTTTTTAGGTTTATCTATAATTTGAAAGAATTTGACATTTGACATAACCTAAGAAAAATTAAAACATGTCTAAAATAAGAGAAACTTTAGTTTCAAATTGCGAAAAGAAGTTTGTTTTAAAAAACTTATCGGAACATAAAGTAATTTCTATTAGCTTCTTTAATTTAATTTACTTACTTTTTTTTCTGTTAAGAGATTAGATGGAAGAGCATTTGAAGAATTTCGCGCAATAAAAATCGAATTTGGGAAAGATTGGGGCTCCTGCCATGTAACTTTAGGCGAGACGAAGTAATTATTTAAAAATACGAGTATATTTATTCATTACCATTAAAATTTTAGAATTTTAGCTCAAGTATCATGCGAAATCCAACAACCAAAAGCGTCACGTCCCAGCGAAGGCCTACTCAATATAAATTTGGAATTAAATCCTTTAGCTGCGCCTCATTTCGAACCTAATCGCCAATCGGATTTATCTGTTCAATTAAACAGACTCTTAGAGAAAGGATTAAAAGATTCAAAAGCGGTGGATTTGGAATCTTTGTGCATTAAACTAAATGAAAAAGTTTGGTCTTTTCGAGTGGATATAAATGTTTTAAATCATGAGGGGAATATTTTGGATGCTGCCTCAGTTGCTGCATTAAGTGCATTAACTCATTTTCGAAGACCTGATGTAACTTGTGAAGGGGAAGAGTTTATTGTGCATAATTTTGCGCAACGGGACCCAATTCCTACTGTGATTCATCATTATCCCATTTGTATTTCATACGGGGTTTTTAATAATGGGTAAAATACCCATAAAATTATAATAACATTTTAATATTTTCTTTTTAGTGAAATAATTTTAGCAGATCCAACTTTATTGGAAGAAAATGTATCTCAAGCACAATTATCATTATCATTAAATGCTTATAAAGAACTTTGTGGAGTCCATTTAGGTGGAAATGCCCCAATTGGTATTGAATCTATCATGAAAACAACAAATAGTGCTTCAAAAAGGGCTAAAGAGATTATTGATTACATTAAGAAAAGCATTGAGGAAGATTCTATAAAAAGGTTGTGCTCTAAACTTGAACATAAAAGAAATTTATTTATTTTTTTGATTTTTAGGAAATCTAAACAACATATTGGATTTAATCAAACTCTTTATAATGACACAAACGTTTTACCAACATTGGCAAACGAAGAATTAACTAAATGTTTAGATAAGTGGTCAGTAAACAAAAAGAAGAGGGCTAAAAAACGAAGAAGATCTAACAATGATGATAATAAATATTCTGAAACAACAAACTTTGAAAAATTGGGTAAAAATGCTGTTGCTTTGATACCTTGTGATGATGAAAAGAATGATTGGGTTGTTAGTAGTGATGAGGAACAAGAAACTCCGCAAGTATCAGTTAAAAATGTTAAAAAGAATAAAAATCAACGAAAAGGTAAATATTATAGTCTTTTTTATTTAAATTTTTTGATTCAATGAATTAATAAAAATGAAATGTTATGTAATTTGATGAATTTATAGACGAAAAGATGGAGCTTGGTGATAGCGAAGAAGAAAATGTGGTAATTCTAAATCCAACTCAAAAGAAGGAACGAAGAAAGAAAAAATATTAAAATCTGATTAAGCAATTACAGTTTTAATTCTTTACTGTTGTATTATACACTGTTTTAATATAAAACAACAAATATTTGTGGCGAAATTTATTTTATGATTTTTTTTATTTATATACCTAATTATTCACTTTCATTGTTATTTTAAATGTCACCAAATCAAATTTCACCATGCTCTTTAAAACCCTATATCCCAGCCAACGTTCATTCAAAAAAGCTCTAAATTGGCACAATTACTCTTCAGATGCTCTCAAATAGATTGTCATATATTGTATCAGAGTATCTTATACAGGCTGGTCAAAAATTGAATTACCGTTTCTCCATATTCAATGGGGAGAAAGTCGAAAATTTTAAATGGAACGCCCCATATTTTATTAGCCTACACGAAAGGGAATTTAATTCTCTACAATTTATCTATAAACATTCCTATATCTATTTATTGTATGTTTCGAATATGTTTCTCTCATATTCGTAAATTTATCAAAACATGCAGGAAACAGTTTGTATTTTTATTAGAAGGCCATGACATTTTGACAGTTTTTTGTTTAATTTATTTCTATTACTATTTGTACTATTAACTACGATTGATAATCTTTTAGTTTACTAGCTTTTACTTACCAAAAACAACAAACAGAAACAAAAAGTTAATGACAAAAATTAGATTTGAATAAAAATATAAATTTGTTATTAAATTGAATTTGGAAATGCAATAAAATACGATAAAATATTTATTTCGTTGTCTTCATCACTGATGACCGGAAATATGCGATTTCTTTTGGTCTCGATATATCCAGAACTAAGAAATTCTTTATCAATTTTTTGAAAATTTTCCTTGTGATGGGCGTTAGGTTTGTTAGACATCTCTCATTAAATGTTCTACGCGTCCTGTCCAAAAGTTTATTACATTCAATAATATATACCAATGACAACAATAATACAAACAAGGATATAAAACTGTCAAAATTCCATAGCTTTCTAATGAAAAAACCTGCATTTGGCAGGTTTGATAAATTTACGAATATGAGACAAACTACAATAAATAGATATGGGAATGTTTATAAATAATTTGTAGAGAATTAAATTCTCTTTCTGATAGGCTAAAAAAATATGGAGCGTTCCATTTAAAATTTTCGACTTTCTCGCCATTGAATATGGAGAAACAGTAATACAATTTTTGACCACTCTGTATAGGATACTCCGATACAACAAATGACAATCTATTTGACAACATCTGAAGAGTAATCGTGTCAACGTAGATCTTTTTTGAATGAACGTTGGCTCAAATATGGAGTTTTAAAGAGCATGTTGAAATTTACCAAAAAAGCTTAAAACCAAAATAATTCGAAAACGAAAAACGCTAGGTACCAATAACTTTTATGAAAGTCAACATATTTTTTTACGTACAATTAAAAGGTGCAATAAAAACTATAGCATTCCATTTACAATAACGAAGTTATGGTCTACTTCCGGTAGACCGGAAGTGGTGGCCATCTTGAAATTATTTTAGATCGAAAGTTCCGAATGAACAACCCATACTACCAAAATTTCAAATCTCTACGAATAGTGGACCCTGAAAAAGTTCTAACGAACCAGTTACGTGAAACACCTGTATATTTTTATTGTAAAATCTGAATCTGTGGATAAAAGTAAAGTAATTCAAAAAAATTAGGAAATGTTACTGTGTGGTTTTGCCAGTACAACGGCAAAACATCTTTTGAAAAAAATTGAAACTTTTTCAGAAACAATTAACTAACGTTTATAATGAAGCAAGAACAAATTAGATTTATGAATTTTTAAACATTTTCCTACCCACTTCGACACATTGTTTTTAGTTCTTAATTCTTAGAATACTATTTAAGAATGCTCAACAAAAAAAAATCCAGAAGAGGTACATCGGGCAACCTGGCTCGTCAGAAATCCCTTTGGAAAGAGGTCTAAATGATTCCGACATTTCTCCGCCTTTGTTAATTAGATAATAGAATAACGCATAAAAAACAAGAGTTCGTGGAACTGCTTATGTCAACATTTTCAGAATATCGCTATCAGAAACTTAACTGGTTGAATTGTTTTAAAATGTAACAGGTAAAACTAAATTTGCATAAAAACTGCTTGGCAACAAATTCTGAATTTATTCCATCGTTTTACATTAAGGCAAAGTGTTTAAACTAACTTAGTTTAAATCATGGATACTCTAAGTGTGGCAGACAAAGTCGAAATGATTTTTATTTATGGAGAAAGTGGCAGAAAAGTTGCTGATAGTATAGCTTTGTATCGAGAACGTTTTCCTGATCACTGGAAATGTGGAATCAAGAAAAAGGACTCGGTGAGCAACAGTAACTACGGAAGAAAAGGAAATTGCGGTATTAGCTAGCGTTGAGGTAAATCCTTAAGTTAGCACTCGACGACTGGACCTGGACGGAATATCGAAGACCAGCATTTTAAGAATATTAAAGCGCAACAAGCAGTGCCACCGCGTGCTCATCAGCCGCCTGTGTGCAAACTTAAAAACGCCGCCCCCTCCCACAAAAGTTAAAGAAGGAAAATATATAAGAAATATTCTTTATTAAGTAAATTATAAAATGTATGTTAAAATAAATTAACACATATTATTATAAAATATTTACTCGTCTTGCTTTTATGCTTGCAACATTTTTAACTAATTCACCTATATCTATGCTATCCATAATATCATTTTCTATGGATATTATCGATAAATCTGTTAAGCGCTCTTGACTCATAGATGACTGTTAATCGTTCAGTGATAGAGGACAAGGTGGTATCTAATATGGCAAAAAAGAAATTGAATTTTAAATTGTCTTTGTTAGTAAGGATCGGCTCATCATGTGACTCATATTCAAATTGTTTTTTCTTTTTTCTTCTCCGAACATCTGGAAATGTAGGTTCCACATCTAAACTTTCAGCTATGTTCTTTGCAGAATTCACAATTAATTCAAATTTGTCATCTGTCCGATAGTCCTTTAGATATAGTGTAATTTGCTCGATGGATTCTAGAACGATTTTCATGTTATATGACGGATCTTGCATCATTTTATTGTTTCAAATGATATCTTAGCCGCATCGTTCATATAGTCCTTGTCCAGTAGTACTTTCAACTGCACAAAACCCCAAGAAATGTTCATGAATTTCTCCTGTATTTTTATTGTGATACACAAATCTAATAACAATGGTCAATTGATCGATATGGCTTATATTTGGGGTAGTATCGATAATTATCGAATAATATTTTGCGCTGTGAACCATTTCCAAAATCTATTTTTTTATGCTTTCGGCCATTAAATAAATTATTTTATTTTGTATACCATCTCCTAAGTAATGCGCAATATTCTTTTTGTCAGAGGTTTGAATACGACGTAAATGTTCAGCCATCACGTTATATAATTTTTTTGATGAACCTCTAATAGCTATACATTGTTGGGATAAATACTAAATTAAATATATTAGACGTTCTATAACAAATTGCCAATATTATTTTCGGTAGTATATAATCTTTGCTCTATTGCATCAATCGTAGTATTTTGTACTGTTTTTAAAGTGTATAGCAGTTGTTTCGTGTTTTTTTAGTATTTGTGATAAGTGTTGCCAATCATTACAACCTAACTCACTATTAAGTTTTGAATTTAACGCATTATCAAATAATTTATAATAATAGCAAAAAACAGAACGGTTTGATATTGAGTATAGCAAATAATTTCTGTTAATTTTTTCTCCATTTGAAAGTGTCCTGATATAATACGTTTCAGAAAATTTACGACCCGAACCATCTTTTGGAAAATTATATTTAATTATTTGACAAGGAGAATTTTCTACTAATATATCTCTTGTTTTAATAGATAGAATTTTTGGCCCAGAACCTGCATCGTTTGCATCAAAACTTAAAGTAGACATTGATAGCATGGATATATTAGAACTAAAAGCTATATTTCTTTCATCTTCAACTGTTTGTTCAAACTTCTGTTTCTTGCGTATCTACTTTCTTATCTACTTTTCCTATTTGTTCGGATTGCTCTGATATTAGAGGAGCATCAGTTTGAGTTGAAACTTTTTGTTTTTTTTTATGTGCCAAACATTTATTTAACGAACCAGCCAACTCTTGATCAATTTGTAATTGTTTGGCTTTTCTTTTTCTGCAGTGAGCCACTGATAAAGTTGTTGGCTTTTTTTTTCTGACATCTACAAAGCCACAACATGTTATTTAATGGTCTTTAAAACTCGGAACGAGTGTATTTATTTTATATTTAATATTCAAGAATAATTAATAGAAATACTTAATTACATAACTATAAATACTTACAATTTCAGAATTACTATTAAGATAATGGACACAAGAGCACTTATGAGGATTTCTATTTACTTATACGGAAACAAATACAAATTTGAACTTCACTTAGCAATAATTCGGTCTTTACGATACTATAATGAAAGGTGAACTGAAGAACTTTTTATTCCGAAATGCACTAAGGACTAAGCAATAAAATTTAGAAAAAAATATATACATAATCTTTGTTAGATTTTATTTGTATTATTTCATTTGTTTAGTCTAGTATTGGAGTGTATCGAGCCGCAAGCTTAGGGTTTTTTTATCGTATTATTTGTTTGATTAGTGAAGTGTTATTAGAATGCGTTTGGGTGTATATTTAAGTCTTTAGGTAAGGTTTTTTTTTTAAATTTTATTTTCTGTAAGTATAATATCTTAAATAGTCCTTTAATTGTATTTGTATATACAGTTAATTCAGCTTGAAATTGACCGCCTTCAATTAACCGCCCCTGTGCGGTGAAGACCCTGCACACCCATAGGCGGCGGCCCTGGCAACAAGTATTTCATTGCATCAACAGCTTTATGGAGGTGATTTTGGAAATCGATTAATATTTTATATACAACAACGAATGCAGTTGGACGTCAATTTCTTTGGTAACGTGCTATTCTCGGATGAGTCTACTACAAAGGACAAGTCAATAGACATAACATGCACTATTCGATCGTTAAAAATCCCAGATGGTTGCGTGAAGTAGAAGATCAATGACCTTGGTCGGTTAATGTTTGGTGTGGCATATTTGGTGATAAATTGATCGGTCCATACTTTATTAATTGTATGTTGAATGGGGAGAAGTACCGAAATTTTTAGATAACGTCTTACCAACGTTACTTGTAGATTTGAGCAAGGAAGAAAAACAAAATATGTGACTGCAAAATGATGGGTGTCGAGCACATTTTTCATATATCGCACGTGAAGTTTTAGATTGGGATTAAGCTGGGCGATGGATTGGAAGGGGAGGTCCAATTTCCTGACCTGCCAGATCACCTGAATTAACACCTCTTGATTTTTTTTTGTGGGGCGTCCTTAAGGATAATGTTTATCGCGAAGTACCGACTACGCCAGAAAACATGAAAGAGCGGATAAGAAATGCATGCAGAAATATCTAGTAGCCAAGAAAACCTTTTAAGATGTAAAGAAAGTTTTAGCAGAAGGGTTAATAAATGTATTGACGTGGGTGGGGAAATATTTGAACATTTATTGTAAATTTTATACTTGTTGAGATACTTAAAGAGGATAAGGAAGGGAAGAGAGGAAGTCAGCAGAGATATACAAATGACTGAAGGGAGAACCTTCGTCATGGGATTGTTGGGTGGGGTGGAAGAGAGAAAACTGGGAGAGGGAGAGCGAGGGATACAAGGAGGAGAACAGATAACACTGGAAGAAATGGATGCAGTGTTGAGGGGACTGATGAGGAGAAGGGCGTCAGGAAAGGATGAGATCCAGAATGAGGCATGGTTGCAGGCGACGGAGACAATTAAGAAGAATTTATGAAAGATAATAAACTACATATGGATGGGGAAGAGGGTGGTGAGCAATTATAGAGGGATCACCCTGTTGGACACAACTTTCAAAATTTATGCAAAGATACTGCTGGGGGGGTTGGAAGAGGAAATGGAGAGTTTATTGATCTGAAGGCTGCATTCGATAACGTGGATATAGAGAAGTTGTGTGAGGAAATGAAGAGGAGAGGTATCACAGAACAACTGATAGGGACGGTGAAGGAGATGTACAAGGAGACGATGGCCAAGGTTAAAGTGGGGGAAGAGTTAAGTGAGGTATTCTGCACAACAAAAAGATTGAGACAGGGGTGCCCACTTAGTTCCACACTATTTGCAATATATACGGCGGACTTGGAATAGAGACATGCAAAGGGGCAAATGAGTGGGGTGGTGATAGGAGAAACAAAGGCTAGAGAGGCGGTATAGATGAAGAGGATGATGAGATCCCTGGAAAGATATTTTAAGGCGAAGGGGTTGGAGGTAAACGTCGGGAAAACAAAGATAATGAAGTTTTGCAAACGGGGGAGAAGAAAGAAGGAGGAACGTCTGAGGACGCACGGCTAAACCCAAAACTTTGTAGTTCTAGGCCTAGTGTTAGTTCTAGTTTTAATGCAATAAAAATATGCAACATAGTGATATCTTATGCTAACTAGCGCTACCTACCGCTGTCGTTTGTAAAATGGATAAGATGACAGATGTTAATCTATTTGTAGAGTCTCTGAAGATGGCCAATGGCCGAAACTAGTTAGACTTAAATTCTATATAAAATAAAAGACATAAACTTTTAATTTTATACTAACATCTAAAAAACGACGCTGGAACGAAATTTCTACTTTTTCTATTGTAGAATTTCTAGGTGTACCTCAGTCGGTTCTTAGACGTATGATGCAAATCGGACTTGAAATCGTATAACGTGATTGGCGCTTAGTTTTATCCTTTAAAACAAATAGTATTTTAGGTCTTTCGGTATTCTGCATTTACACCTTTACCTACCAGACACCATGAAAATCTCCAAAAACGATAAAATGTCGCTTAGTCAAGTTTCCTTAATATTTTCAGGTTTTGTACTACTTCAATAAATCAACTTACTGCAAAACATTTTAAATCATAATTCAAAAGATAACATAAAAATTTAGCTGTATTTTTTTCTATGGGACTTGGAGTGTTCAAATAAATTACTTACATTTAGCGTCTTGGTTATGCTGGTCTATCATTTATAAGGGTGTCGATCTCTTCCTCGTTTGTTCTCCTCTGTGTATAACGTGGCCATACCATGTCAAGCAGTTTTTACATATGAATTTCCTTTATCGTCTAGCATTCTGCTCCATATAGCATAACAGGTTTTACTGCCATCTTACACTTTTGTGCGAAATAGCATATTTGGGTCGCATAGCACTCCAGTTAAGGATCGCCATTTCTGCCAGGCCACGCCAACTTTGCTACACATCCACGTTATTAGAAATCACAGATACTAAAAGTGTGCGATTTTCGGAACTTGATCAGGTTAATACATGGTAGTCTTACTAGCTGACCCTTGACCAAAACAGCATTCCAAGTGCTCCTTCTTTGATTTGCTCACTTTGAGTCCAGCAATTTGTAAAGTATTGATTTATAAGGAGAGTGTGCTTGGTTGGAGTATGACGATAAAGACGGTGTCATCTGCATAAAGTAGATTTCAAGGTAGTAGTTCTAGGATGTTTTTCGGCTGAGACCGACTGGATACCTCATTCTGGTATGAATATTTTGATACATATCTTGTATTAAATGTATGTAACATTTAGGCAAATGTTGTGCCTTCTCGAGGTCTATGAATATTAAACGTAGAATGTAAAATTAAATGAAGGAATGTGATTGTCTAACTAAAAGGGTAATAAATAAATAATATTAAAAGTGTAATGTTTTAAAATTTAGTCCATATTATTAGTATGTAGATTAATTTATTTTTAAATATATAAAATATCAAAATAATAAAAAGTCAATGTTAGAAGACATTTACATTTTTTAATCTTTATCATTATTATCTAATTATTTAAATAAGTCGAGATTAATAAAGCCTAAGTGTTATCTCCAGTGATCCCATTCTTTTGATCCAGCTTATTTCCTTGGGTTTTCACAGTATATATAAAAAAGGTTAACACATCTTTTTCTTTTACAGGTATTTGTTTAAAATGCTTCATCAATTGCTAAAAAGCGAATAAAAAAGATGAAAACTTAAACTATTTCTGATAATATCCAATTTTTTTTAATACATCCACACTCTCAGCGAGAAAGCTCATCATGGTGAGAATATTTCTTGGGAGTGTGGATCTGGCGAAGAGTGTTAAATTGGAGCAAAGCCATTCTACTCATATTATAATGTTTTAAAGATTCAAAAGTGAATTATGATTAAATTACAATATATATTTTATTCATTAACTTTGTTTCAATTTAACTTTCTTCATATTTCTTATAGTTTTTAAGCTTCCAATGGTTAGCATGAATTTTGATACATCTAGCATTCTTCTGTAATTAAACAAAAATATTTTTGCAGGAAAATGTACTTACATCAGCCAGTTGGAGTTTATTCAATCCGGGTCTCATGGAGACCTTATAATGCTTTTTGTACCTCCTTAAAGTATTTACTTGAAGTTGATATAAATCCACCTCAGGGACATCGGTGTCTGTTTCATTACTATCATCCTCTGAATCTTTCCTTCTTCTTTTATTCCGTGCAGATTGAATAATCATTTTGTGGAAATCGCAAATATATGTATGACCAGCCTGAAAACAAATCAATAATTTTATTATTTTAAAATTATAAGTAAAATAACTTATGACTAGAATTTATACAAAGTAAAAAATTAAATAACAAAGTTGAAAAAAAATATTTTTTTGCATGTCAGATGAACAACAAGATTTCCAGCAAAATAGATCTATCTTCATTATAAGACAAGTGATAGAAAACTTAATTGAATACGACTGGATATCAACCGAAGAAATCAAGGTAATTGCAGATATAAGGCAAGACAGTCTTATAATTAGCCCATATTTGTTTAATCTTATAATGAACAAAACTGAATTGAAAGCGTAAACGCTTCTGCGAATCCTCTGTTATGCTGAGGATTCGTGCCATATATCCGCGGAAAGCGAGAACGACCATTCTGTACAGTTTTGCAAGAATTAATAACGTTTAACTCTCTGGGGGTGGAAACGACAAGCAACAAGCGACTAAAGGATGATGTGAGGAAATAGGCACACAGAAATGAGAATCTTAAGAAGTATAAAATAACGAAGATATAAAATCCTCTAGATACACCTAGATGTAAAACCCTCTAGATATAAAATTAGTTGTAACAAAGCAGGAAAAAACATAGCAATTGTTTCAAATACCTGTGAAAAAAAGTTGTTTCAAAAAGTTTCCAGATTGAAGCGAAGTTGAAAGAGAATATTTGTTGCAATAGTGCATCAAATGATAATGATAGTTATGATCACTGTGAGCCAAACATAAGAAGTGTTCTACAAACGAAGTTAAGACTATAATATAAATGAAATGTTAGAAATGTTATAACATATTATTGGTAAGCTTTATAAGCTTCATCATCAAACTAAGCCAATGAAGAAAAAGCTGTCACAAAAAGTGAAGATAAATTTCTGCAACAAATTAATGCACTTTTGAGTTTACCTATAGTAGATAAAAGTTTTGATTCTATTATTTAGTGGAAAGACCATAGAGTACTGTACCCCGAATTAAGCAAAATAGCTCAAAAATATGTGTCAAGCCTTGCAAGTAGCGTTTGTAGCAAACCCACATTTTTTTAAATATGTAATTTTTGAAGACCAACAAATCTAGATCAACTCCAATCAACGCAAACAAAATACTTTTTATACACCACAATTTAGCACAATTTTGAGTATTGACCCATATTTGTATTTTAAGTTGTATTTTTATATTTCCATATTTTTTTACTAAAATGTAATTACTAAATTTTATAACAAAATTTTATATAAAATGAAATTTTTGAATTTACTAAATGACACCAGATCTACAATCAAATGACCAGATCCGCCAGAACAATGTCAAGGCTGGATTTTAGTGCCATCCCTACTTATGTGGTAGAGATTTTCAGTTGATTTTGACAATTAAATTTTCAGATTAAAGATTTTTGTCAATATATGAGCTGTTTTTTTCTGAAAGTGGCATATAAGTCCATTTTTTTCATGTATATCTCTATTACATATCTCTATCTAATATTTCGATATTTAAGGGTTTGAATTTGAGTTAATTTAAAAATATTGGTAAACGTTAATATGTTCGAGTGATGTTTTTCCAAATGGAAAAATACCACTTTCAAAAACAATACACTTAGTCACGAAAGTCTTCGTACAGGCTAGAAATTCGTATTTATGAACAAAATAATTATTTATTTATAACCGTTATGAAACATTTTACATATTTTCAACGATTGATAATGATTTAAAATTAATGGTTATTTATATTACAAGTGGGCTAGAAACATAATTACTGTACGAGTGTGGAGAATTACAGTCGTGTAATCACACGAGTACTGTAATTATGCTCTAGCCCATGTGTGATATACAGCATTTTATCTACGGCTGCTAAAAATTACTAAAAAATCAATTTCTTTAGAAAAGTCTATTTGACATTTATAAAAATATTTTGAAATGATTGTTGACAATTTTGAATTGTCAGTTTCAACAACATGTTTACTTATCTGGAATAAGTGTTTNTTTTTTTCATGTACATCTCTATTACATATCTCTATCTAATATTTCGATATTTAAGGGTTTGAATTTGAGTTAATTTAAAAATATTGGTAAACGTTAATATGTTCGAGTGATGTTTTTCCAAATGGAAAAATACCACTTTCAAAAACAATACACTTAGTCACGAAAGTCTTCGTACAGGCTAGAAATTCGTATTTATGAACAAAATAATTATTTATTTATAACTGTTATGAAACATTTTACATATTTTCAACGATTAATAATGATTTAAAATTAAAATATATGCTTCTAGTAAGAATTAAAAAAGATAACAAAGATAAATTACTTTTTCTGATCACACGAAAGTGTTCGTACAACGAATTATTAATAAAATAACTGAAGAAAAATCCTATTAAATAAATAACTAGTGTCGTGTCGGTCCACCTTTCTGCTCTAAAACAGTTTTGCATCGACGATAAGTCTCTAGTAACATCGGGCGCAATATTCTCCCATTCTTTCAAAATCACTTCTTTAAGGGAGGCTTTGCCCATTATCCTATTTTTTCTCACTCTTCTTTCAATTTCGTCCCATAAATGTTCTATGGGATTTAGGTCACATTATTATTAGTTTTGAAGTTTTTTATGATATATTGCACTGTAGATCGTGGTTTATTAACAAGTTTTGAGATTGTGCTCAACGATTTCCCCTCGTTTTTGAATTTAATAATTAAATTTCTTAATTCTTCGCTAGTTTCTTTTCTATGGGCGCTCATTGTAAATTGATGTTGTAAATGTGATGCAACTGTCGCACTGAACATGTCTTAACAAGTCAAAGGTTACGAGATACCAAAGTTAAACGAAGTGAACCGAAAATTAACAATCGGCAAATCATCATAATGAAGTAAGATCAGTGTCGTATCAGTGTACGAACATTTTCATGACATCAAAAAACGATATTTTTTTAACTTATTTAAATAGAATATACTTTATTTTATCCATAAAACGTTATTAACTGTTTTATATTATACATTTCGGTAACGAAATGTAGCAAAATTTATAAATAATCGGTTATTTTGTTGTTTTTTCACCTGTACGAAGACTTTTGTGACTAAGTGTATATTATAAGAAATAAAAAGAAGAGTAAATTAAAATCCATATTTTTATGAGTGCGGGAAGTTAGCCCCCCATTTTTTGATTTTTAAATTTTTTATTGTTGTTCTAGATTGTTCTAGAGTTGTTCTACATTGTTCCAAAGCGGCAAATCGAAAAAATAAAAACTCCGCGAGAAAACCGAAAAAACAGGTTTTTTGACTAGCCCCCCATTTTTGGAAAAATCAAATTTTCTTTGTTGTTCTGGGTTGTTCTAGTTGTTCTAGTTATTGTTCTAGAAAATCAAAATTATGGGATACAGCATTACGAAGTTATAACTAAAAATAGGTTTGGCCGCCGAAATGTCTAGTTGATTGCTGTGACCATAGTTTTTCTATTATCAATTCCATATTACAAATATATACTTATTATAGCTAACGCAATCTGGAACAGCTATTATTTTCACTAGAACAACTCTCTAAAGGGCACTTTACTCTTTGAAAATTAAAGTTTTTGGAAGTTTCAGTCAGTAATTCTTGTGTCAGCGGTTTTATATTACACAATAAGAATTAAAAAATAAAGAACAATCTAAAATAACTCAATCTTTGCCGATTCAAATTGTTCTAGATGTGTTTTACGTTTAACATGGACATTAATTTTGGAAAATCACATATTTTTTGTTGCTCTAAATTGTTCTTGTTGTTCTAGCTACTTAAAATGTTTATTTAATCACTGCGGCTTTAGTTCTTTTAAAGTTTCATATTAAAAATTAGTACTTACAACAATTAAAACAATTCAAAACAGCTGTTATTTTCACTGGAAAAACCTTAAATTTGAGTTGTTGTGATATCGGACAGGTTTTGTTAAATCAGTGAACCCAACCTTTAATATAATAATAGTTTTAAAAAACTAAAAAAATATGGAATAATCTGACCATACTAATTTTCTAAAAATCACAAATTTCACCTTACTCTTTAAACTTATAATAGTAATAATAAACTAAACTAACATATAAAACAATAACTATTCGATCAGTATTACTATATTAGTACAATAACTTATTCTAAGGTAAACTATAACTATAAATAAACTAATATCATGGAATATACGGTTACATCACTTTCCTCATTTATAAACATATATGCACATTTGTGCATTTATTTCAGTAGCTTCTTCAACTTGTACGGATTTTTTTCGTAAGTCATTAAATAATATCCAATTGGCATTGNCGTAACTTCGCTGGGGTTGATCTAGGGCGAATGGGAAAAAACCCTTAACTAATATTTTTGAACGCACTAGAAGTATACTTAATGCCGCCAAAATCGATAGGGTGGTTTTTAAATAATTCCAAAAAAATAGGGGTAGTTCGCCCTTTTTAACCCTCTGCTATATGTGTGACACATCAAAAGAAAGCTCTTTTAAAATGAATATCAGTTACAATTTACCAAATTTTGATAGCACTTTTCGTTTTCAAAATATAAGTGAAAACGTACTTTTTCTCCAAACTTTCAACCCCTATAACTCGCCCCAGGGGCTTTTACCGCACGTATAAAAAAATGTGCGAACCTTATTTTGGCCCATTCTATGACTGTACCAAATTGCATCGAAATCGGTGAGACACAGTTGTGACACTTCCCTTGTCAGTAAACATTAGTTATCGTTAAAAATGATTCTATTTGGTCAATCTGGGAAGTTACGTTATATGTTTTACAAGTTCCTCTTTTTGAACAGTATATCGCTCAAGTGTTTTCCTTCGTTATGAATGCATTGCCGAATGCGAGTTCGGAAGTTCGCCATTACACTAATCAACATTTCTTGAGAAATACGAGCAACCTCTTCTTGAATCGTTTGTCGTAGGGCTGGTAGAGTCCTCGGATGATGTTTGTAAACTTCAGTCTTAAGAAACCCCCATACAAAAAAATCACAGGGAATAAGGTCTGGAGATCGTACTGGCTAGTGGATGTTCAA